TCCCAGCTACTCAGGAGGCTGAGGCAGGAGAATTGCCTGAACCCCGCAGGCGGAGGTTGGGGTGAGCCAAGGTCGCGCCATTGCACTCCAGCCTGGGTAACATGAATGAAACTCCATCTCAAAAAAAAAAAAAAAAACACAAACACACGCACACATGTCACAGGAGGACAGATTAGATTTCTTCCACGTTTGGAGAACATGAGCTCTTTAAAATATCAATCAGCCTGTGCCATAAAGAGGGTAGATTCTGTAGTCTTAGCTGAGCAGTGCTGCTGAAGCCCTCTCACCTGCTCCTTCTGGACTTCCTAGGACTGCAGACCACGAGACTGGGAAACCACTTGGAAGACCGAGTGAACAAATTTTTGCGACGCCAGAATCACCCTGAAGCCGGGGAGGTTTTTGTTCGAGTGGTGGCCAGCTCAGACAAGACAGTGGAGGTCAAGCCTGGAATGAAGTCACGGTCGGTGTGCCTGCTCCCTATAGTGCTCTGCGAGCAGTCCCCATGCCTGCTTGCCAGAGCCTGCGCTCTGCAAAGCTCTTGAGTTTGATATCATCCTTCAAAGACTTTGCGGCAGCGAACGCATACAGTAGCCCCCCATCAGCCATGATTCTCCTCTCTGGGGTTTCAGTTACCCAGTACAGTGCAGTAAGCTATTTTGAGAGAGACCACATAACTTGTATTACAGTATACTATTTATAATTGTCTTGATTTATTATAACTTATTCTTGTTAATCTCTTGCTGTGCCTGTTTTATAAATTAAAATTTTGTGACTGGTACAGATGTATAAGAAAAAGCATACATAGAGGTTGATACTGTCCATGGTTTCCCATCTACCCTGCAGATAAGGGGGACTGCTGTATAGCCAGTCCTCCTCAGCATCCCGTATTTCATTCGCAGAGGTGCAGTTGTCTAGTGGGGGAAACTCATCAGAAAGCAGGGGCTCTCCATTCCAGGGCTGCTCGGCCCATAGGGAGGACTCCAGGCCACGGCCTGAGGAGGTGGCCATGCCTCCCCTTGTCTGCAGTGGCCAGAGTTAGAGCAGCAGGCCTGGTGTGCAGAAGCACCTTGTCAGCAACAGCCTTTGTAAACATCAGGCTCTGGCTTTTGTTTCAGGTTTGTGGATTCTGGGGAAATGTCTGAATCTTTCCCATATCGAACCAAAGCACTGTTCGCTTTTGAGGAAATTGACGGCGTGGATGTCTGCTTTTTTGGAATGCATGTCCAAGAATACGGCTCTGATTGCCCCCCTCCAAATACAAGGTAGTTTTCCAGCTCCTTCCGGGGTGTGTCATTCAGTGCGCTGTGTTAGGATAGACCAGGCTCTTAAGTGTCCCAGAGGAGCCTGTTAGCCTTCGTAGGGGATTAAAGTAAATCAAGCCACAGTTAACTAACCAAAGTAGTTAGCTGTGTTTTCCATTAAACTCGCGGGAAGTGACTGTTGAGATGACTGCAGTGAACATGTTTTGTGTGGTGAGCCTGTGTGCATCCCCCTCTTACCTAAGGCGGGGGCAGCCTGGCACCTGCACAGAGGAAGTAGCTCTGCCAAGAGGGTCTTCATGTGCAGTCAGGAATCTGGGCGAGAGGGAACTAAAAGTGGCTTTTCTCAGTTTGCCCTAATTGTGGCTCTCTGTACTGAGTGGTGCCATTCATCTTTTTGTTCAGTGACAAAAACTGAATTCCATTTAACTGGTTGACAGCATGATCGGTGACTATTTTGTTTATTTGTTTGTTTTATTTTTCATCACAGCCTCTTTGGTGGCCAGTGTAAATACCATCAAAACAAAAACTGGCCATGTGCAGTGGCTCACACCTGTGTAATCACAGCAGTGTGGGAGGCTGAGGTAGGAGGATCACTGGAACCCAGGAGTTTGAGACAACGCTGGTCAACAAAGTGAGACCCCCATCTCCACAAAACAAATAAAAAATGATCTGGGCATGGTGGTACATGCTTGTCATCCTAACGACATGGGAGTCTAAGGCAGGAGGATTACTTGAGCCCAGGAGGTCAAGGCTGCAGTGAGGTGTGACTGCACCACTGCATTCCAGCCTGAACAACAGAGCAAGACCCTGTCTAAAAATTCAATTCCCAGGGTGTTTTTTGTTGCTTGTGTTTCATTTTAAGTTTGAGGAACAGCCAGAGTTAAACATGTGCCTCCTTCCCACAGGCGAGTGTACATTTCTTATCTGGATAGTATTCATTTCTTCCGGCCACGTTGCCTCCGCACAGCCGTTTACCATGAGATCCTTATTGGATATCTAGAGTATGTGAAGAAATTGGGGTGAGTTTAGATTGAATTATTTGGAACTAGTAAAAACTCTTTATTTTTTACTGTATGTTTATTCTGTGAAATAATGAGATTTTTTTTATATATGTTTTTATTTTTACATCCTGAGATCCATTCAGAATCTCCAAAGCTTCCCTTCTCAGGTGCTTCCCGGAACTCACAGGCCTGGCTGCTAGCAATGTTGCCGTCCTGCCTTTACTTCCTTTTCATTTCTTTTTATTTGTTTGTTTATTTTATTGAGGCAAAATGTACATATCATAGAATTCTCCTTTTTAGGTGTATGATTCTGTAGTTTTTAGTAACTTTACTGATAAGTGCAACTGTCATAAGTCAGTTTCAGAACATTGTTACTGGCCTTAAGATCCCTCCTGCCAGCCAGGTGCGGTGGCTCTTGCCTGTATCCCAGCACTTTAGGAGGCTGAGGCAGGTGGGTCACTTGAGGTCAGGAGTTCAAGACCGGCCTGACCAACATGGTGAAACCCTGTCTCTACTAAAAATACAAAAAAAGGCCAGGTGCGGTGGCTCATGCTTGTAATCCCAGCACTTTGAGAGACTAAGGCAGGAAGATCACAGGTCAGGAGTTCGAGAGCAGCCTGACCAACATGGTGAAACCCTGCCTCTACTAAAAATACAAAAATTAGTCAAGTGTGGTGGTGCATGCCTATAAATCTCAGCTACTCAGGAGGCTGAGGCAGGAGAATCGCTTGAACCTGGAAGGCAGAGGTTGCACTGAGCCGAGATTGCGTCACTGCACTCCATCCTGGGTGACAGAGCAAGACAATATCTCAAAAAATAAAATAAAATAATTTTTTTTTTTTTAATTTGGCCAGGTGTGGTGGCTTATGCCTGTAATCCCTGCACTTTGGGAGGCCAAGGCAGGTGGATCACCAGAGGTCAGAGGAGTTCAAGACCAGCCTGACCAATGTGGTGAAACCCTGTCTCTACTAAAAATACAAAAAATTAGCCAGAGCATGGGGGAGGGTGCCTAGGGTAATCCCAGCTGCTGGGGAAGCTGGGGCAGGAGAATCGCTTGAAGCCGGGAGGTGGAGGTTGCAGTGAGCCGAGATTGTGCCATTGCACTCCAGCCTGGGCAACAAGAACAAGACCCTGTCTCACCAAAAAAAAAAAAAAAAGTTAGCTGTGCATGATGGCGCACGCCTGTGATCCTAGCTGCCTGGAATGCTGAGGCAGGAGAATCACTTGAACCAGGGAGGCAGAGGGTGCAGTGAGCCAAAGTCGTACCATTGTACTCCATCCTGGGCAAAAAGCTAAACTCTATCTCAAAAAAGAAAAAGAAAAAAAAATCCCTCCTGCCCCTTGCTGTTAATCCATCTCTGCCACAGGCAGAGATCTACTTTTTGTCTCTCTGAATTTGTCTTTTCTGGATCCTTTGTGTAAACAGAACCCTGCAGTGCATGCTCTCTTGGGTCTGGTTTTCTTCTCTAGCACTTGGTTTCTGTACTATAGACCTGCCCCATTCCTTCCTGAATCTTGAAAAGGTTAGGGGCATTTGATCAAAGTGTCTTGAACAGAGTGAATGATATTATGTTGACATTGACTCTCGGAGAGAAATAGTCAACTGAACTGCCTTTATAGTGCTCAGGAGGAAGGGGATGGTATTGCCTTGATGAGCCATCATATTCCCTGGTTCTTTAATGGGGCCTCAGGTTTCCTTTGTAGCCTTGGCCCTGCCCTGTGTGTGCACCCCGAGAGAGAAGTAATTCAGGGCGGGTGTCTAGGCTTGCATTTGCTCAGGAGAAAGTTCCAGTCTTGCCCCCACCACTCCCAGCATTGTGGGCGTTCGTTCTCTCCTCTTTCTGATTACTTTTGTCCTGGCTTGAGTCCTTGCTCCTCTGCTATAACTCCTTAAAGGCAGGCCAATTTCACTGGCACTTCCATCTGATGTGTGTGTGTGTGTGTGTGTGTCCTGCAGGTATGTGACAGGGCACATCTGGGCCTGTCCTCCAAGTGAAGGAGATGATTACATCTTCCATTGCCACCCACCTGATCAAAAAATCCCCAAGCCAAAACGACTGCAGGAATGGTACAAAAAGATGCTGGACAAGGCGTTTGCAGAGCGGATCATTCATGACTACAAGGTACCTGGTGCTGAAGGAAGGTGGTGGCTTTTGTCACAACTGAGTGAAGGATATTTGTGTGTCTTTTTCTTGCATTCACATACTCGGTAATTATGTTTACTTACGAGGATTAGAAAGCAGAAAAATCAAAGCATAAAGTGGGAACTTAGAAGCATTTTCTTTGGCTGATAGGGCTTTCCCCTGGCTGTCTGAGGGCCACATGGTTGGTGCTGTTTCCATCACAGGGCCTTGGGGCCTGTGCATCACTGTTGCACGCATGGGGGCTCCAGCACTGTGGTAAGGGGCATGCATGCAGTGGGGTCTGCTGCTCCGTGCTGGGGCCCACATGCATGGCCCTCATCTCATTGTGCTTTGCCCACGCAGGACATTTTTAAACAAGCAACTGAAGACAGACTCACCAGTGCCAAGGAACTGCCCTATTTTGAAGGTGATTTCTGGCCCAATGTGTTAGAAGAGAGCATTAAGGAACTAGAACAAGAAGAAGAGGAGAGGAAAAAGGAAGAGAGCACCGCAGCCAGTGAAACCACCGAGGTACAGATCCTCCTCCAAGCCCAACTGCCCACATGTCCCGCCGAAGCTGCCAGGGTGGCAGGCTGGGAGGCACGTGTTGGCTGTTAGGTCCTTTCAGTGGTGTCTCTGTTCACACACGTGCATCGACGTGTGTTCACACAACACCATCGGCACGGGGTGTTGGTGGGCAGCAGTGTGGGCGCTGCCCCCTCTGCTCAGTGGATGCTCTCTGGGGCTGGGGGCCCATTTGGACTTGGAGAGCAGAGAGAGGAAGGCAGAAAACAGGGCACGTGGCAGTCAGGGCACAACCTACTGATGTAAAAAGTAACTCGAGAAGGAGGCACCGGATCGCCAAGGCCTTGTACCCATGTTTGGTGGCTGCTCTGCACGTGGTGCTCATGCCCTCCTGCCCTCTCTCCTCGGTACTGACCCTGAGTGCCAGGCAGTGCAGAGTGAGCCAAACAAAAACCCATGTCTGCCCCCGAGGGGGTGGCTGTGTCCTGGTAAGAGAAACAAAAAGAGCCCAGACCCCAGTGTGGTGTGCTCCGATTGTGATGGAGCTGGGAAGGGGAAGAAACCCTGAGGAGGTAACAGGTGGGCCAGACTCGTCCACCACAGGAAGGTGCGGGGAGAGGACCCACCAGGCAGTGGGAGGAGGCGCGCCGTGTGCAGGGTTGTGTGGCTGTCTGGGGAAGAGATGGTGGTGGCGTGGGTGTGGGCTATAGCTGTAGGTGCAGAGAGAGCAATGATGAATGTTGAAGACTGCAGCCCCAGAACTTGGGACAGGCCATTGTGACTGGTGAGGAAAAGCCGTGAATAGAGGCAGCTCCTGCATGGGCCTGAGCAGCTGCCATGGGTGAAGCAGCCGGGCACCAGCTGGGGACCTGTTGCCGCTACAGTGCCTGTTGCATGTGAGAGCAGGGCTGTGAGGCGGGTGCCGGGTCTGTGGGCTCAGTGGGGCCTGGGCTCTTTCCACCGTGCACTCTCGTGCTCACTGCACCAGTGGTTGAGAGGTGGCCACCTGCTAAACAGCACCGCAAAGTGTCATTCGCTGGACAGAGGGGGCACGGGCAGGGTCCCGTGCAGGTTTGTGCTCTAGATGGCTCCTAAGCAGAGCTCCAGGCCTATTGTTTTCTGACTTGCTCCTGCTGGAGTGGAGCTAGCTTTACCGGTTTCTGGTGAGTTAATGCTCAAGTTCCACCTCCTAAGGGTGACTCGGGAGGATACCACATCCAAGACAGGCTTTGAAAGGGGAGGTGCTTGTGCTCAGCATGACAGTGACCAGCTGGTTTTACGAACCCAGGCTCTGTGTCCCACATGCCACGGCAGGAGGCGGCCTGATGAGAGCTGCTGTGGGCCTGTACAGGGTTGGGGATCACTGCAGAAGAAGGAATCTGGGCCATCAGGCTCCTCTGGGGTCCGTCAGAGCCGGTGCCCTCACGGCTGAGCCTCCCACAAGTGTTCGACAGCACAGGGACATAGCCTCCGCTGCTGTAGGGAGAGGGCTCTGAGGGAGAACGCAGCTGGGTCCCACCCCAGGAGGGGACACCTGCCTGTGACATGGCGGCAACAAGGCTGTTTAGAAGACAGGCCTGGCAGGGGCTTCAGCTGGAGCAACCTTCCCTGTGCACCGGGGACTTGCATGTGCTGGGGAGGGCAGGATGCTGAGGTGTTGGCAGGCAGACCTGCTGTCCCATGTGTAACAGTGGGCAGCGACACCCCAGGAGCTTGCTGTGGGGGTCAGCTTTAGTGAGGGCCGGCATGTGGGGTGGAGCACTGTTTTGCCATTAAAAATCATACTGTCAAGTCTGGGAAATGATGGAAAGCTTGTGATAACGTCAGGTAGGGTGAGAAATGGAAGCAGCTCCCTCTGCACACTCCTAGCTTCATGAGGAACATGGCAGACAGAGACAAACATGCACAAGGAAAGCTCCAGAACATAAAATACTACTGTTCAGGAAGACCAGGAAAATGAAACAACTTTTTTTTTTTTTTGAGGCAGAGTCTCACTCTGTCACCAGGCTGGAGTGCAGTGGTGCTATCTCGGCTCACTGCAACCTCTGCCTCCCAGGTTCAAGCGATTCTTCTGCCTCAGCCTCTGAGTAGCTGGGACTACAGGTGCGCACCACCACTCCCAGCTAATTTTTGGACTTTT